CAGTAAATAAAAGATTAAAGGGGAACTAACCAATGGTTTGTTAAGTCAAACCGAAGAAAACGCGAGAAACTAGCAAAGATGGAGGCTTAAATGCGCCTCTCAGGTTTTGGAGGTTGTTTTCTTTAATTTGCTTCACTTTTGGTGTGCAAAGAGCACTGTTTTTCTTGCTGAAATTGAATTAAATTTCGGAATGGAAAAATATGTGTGTGAGAGAGAGAGAGAGTGGGTTTGCTTGAAAATTCTTTATAGCCTTAGGAGGCTTGGGGGACAAGTAGATACACATTAGGTCGAAACCCTAATCTGTATATACACAGCCTTGAGGCACAATACACTAAAATAGGTAGCAAAATCTTCTAAAAATTGAATTTGTGCACACTATCATGCACATGCGGCTGCATGAGGACAATGTGTAGCAATAACCTCATAATGCGGCCGCAGGTATGGACCTGCGGGTTGACTTAGGATCTGCGGCTGCACGTGGGCTAGCCAACAAGCCCACAATGCTCCAATCAACAATTTTGACTTTCAAATGATTTTATTACCTTTATAGGTGTAATTAACTCCAAATTAACTTTTTATTTTTATTTTTTATATATCATAAAACGAGTTCTTCATTGGAAAATTGACAATTTGAAATTAATTGAATATATATATCTCGTCTCCTTTTGAAAAGATATTTGAAAACGCAATTTTAACCAAGTAAAATAGTTTTTTTTTTTTTTGGGAAAAATGGGCTTAGAGGATGGAACTGGTCCAGCAGGTTCAAGCCCAAACTCACTAAAGCATTGGAAATGTAATAGTTTCATCATCGGGGAGCATCCAAAATACCTGAGTCTTAGGGTCGGTCAAAATGGGATGTGTACACAAACATAAGTGATGTGGCCCATTTAACCAATCTAGTGGTGACAACTCACATGATACTTCAAATATGGTATGAAAAATTAAATATATGGTGTTTTACCATTATTGACATGCAAATTACACGCATGGTTTACGTATTTCAAATCATATATCAATCCCTCAATCACTTTGAGGAGAGTGAATGGACCAATTTTTTCTTAATTTATGTTCAATTTGTTAATGGGCATTACTAATTGTATTGAATTAGCATAATGTGACAAATTAAAGGACAAAATTGATATAATTGGAACTATTGAATCAAATTGACAGAATGGACAATCTACAAGAATCACATGTGTAATTTCCCTAACAAGAAAAGTAAGATCAAATAGGGAAAAGAGAGAGAGTAATTTATGAATTCAGAGTTCTTATGCAATCGTAACAAATGAAAAGTTGATGTATAATTTGACATGTCATTATGAGTAATTGTGAGATTTAAATTGTGGGTCTCAATCTTTTTCCAATTAAGAAGGGCTTTTAAATATTAATTTTTAAAGGATTTTAAATAAATTAGGGTGGGCACAATTATAATTTTTTAGAGTTAAACAAAAATACTTTACAAATATAAAGGTACTAGTGTAATTACAAAGAATTGAGGAGGGGCACGTGCTCCCTTGGTCTTTTTTCCCTCCGTCCCCATGTCTCACACAGATACGTCACCTTCTTAGAAGTGCATGTGCTTCTTATGTTCCAATACTTACTTATTGGTTATATTTGAATTCTCAAATTTTACTTGTGTGTTGTCCTTGCATATGAGGGTTTTGCGCTTTTTTCATTTTAAACACTAGGTTTTCAATTTCGACAAATTAAATCTCATCCTTTCACCTGTGTTTCAATTTGCCTCCATGTTTTAATCTGGCCCCCCGGTCCATCTCCGTCATATTGAACTAACAGAAATCTGAGCAAAATTTCAGATTCAAACTCACATGTTCAAGCACTTGTATCTCTCTTGTCGTAACTCTGTTTCGTCTCATTTTCATGTCATTGGATTCACCTCATGGTTTAGTTTTCATTCCACCCCTCATATGCCTTGTTCCATATCTTTTTGCATGCCGTCGAAGCTCCGAAAGTTGGCCAAAAATATTTTTTTTCTCTATTTGGGCAAAATTTTCAGATTCAAACCCATATGTATCTCACTCGTCGTAACTCCGTTTCGCCTCATTTTCACATCGTTGGATTCATCTCATGGCCTAGTTTTCATTCCATCCCTCATATGCCTTGTTCCACATCTTTTTGCATGTCGTTGGAGCTCCAAAAGATGGCCGCAAATATGATTTCCTTTTTTTTTTTGATTTTTCCTCTATTTTCTATCTCCATACTTCTTCCTTCCTCCTTCCTTTCCACAATTACTCTCTTTTTTCCTCTTATTTCATTGCCCTTCCACCACCCTTACGTTTCTTTCCCTTCTTGTAAGTCATATACCTCTATACTTGACCGCACTGCCACTATCGGAGTTTGGTGGCCACCACGAGCTCGGTGGAAGGGCCATGAAGGAAGAGGAAAGAGAGAATAATTGTGGAAAGGAAGGAAGAAGCATGGAGATAGAAAATACAAGAAGAAAGGGAAAAAAAAAAAAAAAAGAGAGAGAAAAATTCTTATTTTGGCCAATTTGGGGAGTTCCGACGGCATGCAAAAAGAGGTGAAACATGGCGTACGAGTGGTGGAATCAAAACTAGGCCATGAGGTGAATCCAATGATGCGAAAATGAGGTGAAACGGAGTTACGACGGGGGAGATAAGTGCTTGAACATGTGGGTTTGAATTTGAAATTTTTTCCAGATTTCTGTTAGTTCAATATGATAGAGATGGATTAACCCTATATATTATGTATCGTAATTTTTTAAAATGAAAACCTGGGGTTTAATATGTCGAAATTGGAGATGGATTAACCCTATATATTATGTATCGTAATTTTTTAAAATGAAAACCTGGGGTTTAATATGTCGAAATTGAAAACCTGGGGTTTAAAATGAAAAAGGCGCAAAACCCTGGGGTTTTTTGTGTAATTAACCCTATATATTATGTATCCTAATTTTTTTCTCTTTCATTATTTTGGCTTTTTTTATTTTTATTTCTGTCTTCTTTCATGTAGCATTGTACTGGGGAACTTTATGCTCTATCACTACTAATCCATGACCAATGCTGTAACTTCTTGGTTCTTTGTGTTTCATGTTGTTTGCTTACTTCTACAACAAAATGGACATTGAAGAACATGTTTGAATCTAGTAGACAGCAAATACTTCTTAAAAGCTACAGTCAAACAGTTTACTTCTTCTTAAGCCTGAAACAGCAAATGCTTTTCCATTGTCATCCAATGTGGTTGTCAATTTATAGAAATTATAGACTGACTGCTTTTTCATTTGCAGAAAGCTTTTTTGTGCCAACTCCATAGGGCCTGCTACCTTAATTATTTTTTGTAAATCAAGGCCTACTTACTTTTTGCAAATCAATATTCTTCTATAGCTTCAACTCATGTTTCCTTCTTCCCCTGTCCTCTTCTTGTCTTTTCATTACCTTAATTCTGTTTGTCCAACCTATTCATGGCATTGTTTGGTGCAGGCTTAAAACCTGACCTTTTGGCTTACACCAGTCAACAAAATAGCCAAAACCAAAAAGCCACCGACATTTACTAACCCATTTGGCTTCTTGGCCTTTTAGGCCTCGTTTGGGAAGCGACCCGTTTAGCCAAAAAGCCAAAAAGTCACTAAAAAAACCAAAAAGCCAACAACCCATACCAAAAAGTCAAAGATTCTCTTTTCTCTCTATTTTTTGCACATCTTTTCGTAAAAAGCCAAAAAGTCATCCCAAACATACTAGTTTTTTTTAGCTCATATTTTAGCCAAATAGCCAAAAAGTTACTAAATTAGTCTGTTCCCGAACGAGGCCTTAATTGGCAAAATGACTGTCTTAGCCTTACCATAATAATTACCCATGAATTGTGGTATATAGTTGAGGGTCTTATAGTCATATAGGTAAATTGTTAGCATCAGCAGTTCGGCCAGCTAAAGGTCCAAATATATGAATTTTTTAAAGTCAAAAGGACTTGGCTATTTTGGGATTTTTAATTGAAAAAGGTGAAAAGTCAGCCAGTACCAAACAAAGCGTTAGTCAAATCATATATTTTCTACATATTGGTACCTGACTTCTCACAGATGCATTAGTTTCTTGTTCCTTGCTTTTTTGTCTTGTCACTAACTTACCCATTTCAATATTTTCATTTTTAGACACATTTATGGACTTTTCATTGATTACTTGACACAGCATTTTGACCTTTGAAACTTTCTTACTTTTCTCTGATAGGTGTCTTGTATCACAGAGCATCCTAATGCACTTTTCCTACTTCATTCCTCTCACTTGAACTCTATTGCTGCCATTTTTATTTCATATCCATCCATATGGCTAGTATTCCAACGCAATGATCACTTTTTGGCATGTCTTGGATTTGTCGTTTCAGAATATTTAAGTTGTGTTTTCTCTCACTAAAAGCAAATGCATGGAATTAGTTCTCATTAAATAGTTTATATCTTGGTTATTGTTTGCACCATTCATAATCATCAATGTGAAGATGCAGGATGATGAGTTTTGAAGACGCTTCTTCATTTGGGAACTTTATGAAACTTTGACCTTTCCTTTTTTTTATTTTTTTTATTTATTTTTTTAACATTTAAAATAGGTCAAGTTAAAAATAAAATATACATCGCAGAAGACCTGATCACATATAACATCTTTTCTCAATATAAATGATGATATCTGGAGGTAAGTTCGGACATTGATCTCTGGCTGTTTGTAATTTCTAGTATGTCAGTCATGATTATTTGTTGAATAGTACGAGGAAGAATACTAGTCATGATTATTTGTTGAATAGTATGAGGAAGAATACTATGTTATAGGAAAACTACATTGTACATGATTAATAGTTACATGAGTATGGGAAGTGTTACAGGAAAACTACATTGTACAACTGTGTATCACTACTCAATTAAAAGTTTAAAACATCATCAATTGTTTGTTATGTCATGAAAGCTTGATAGAAATTTTAGTCTGTATCTGTGTTGATGGTTGTTTGACAATAAGTTTAATTTTTTTGGGACCTGATTACAGTCAAAATGCAAAGTTCAGCTATGGGTATGCAAGCTCTCCTGGGAAAAGGTCTTCAATGGAGGATTTTTATGAGACAAGAATAGATGGTGTAGATGGAGAGATAGTTGGTCTCTTTGGAGTCTTTGATGGTACATAACACTCTCTCTCTAGTTTCCTTGGTGGCTCTCCGCATAACCTTGGTTTCCATAAAAAATAATGTTATGAATGCATAGTAATTATGTTTGCTAAATATGAATATGCCCACTCATAAGTTACTTATTGATGATTTACTAAATCTTTTCCAACATGAATGATTCTGACACAGTCACAGAATGAATTTTTAGAATTTTTACACTTGTCATAGCATTCATTTTTTCAGAAGATTTTTTTTGTTGTTTCATTTTGCTGGAGTGTTTTAATTTTATTCATTTTTTTGGGGTGCATATTATCCATTTTTCTTTATTTATCTGAAATTTAGGCATTAGGTATCATTTAGTTTTTAGTTGATGCAAAGTTAAGTGACTTTCTCTGCATCATCATGCACCTTTATTTGGTTTGTATTCTCATCTTTCATTAAAATCTGAAATGGGAGACTTTGATATGCATGCTAAGTTCATTACATACCTCTTATTATGTTATGTATTTGTTTTCTATGGTTGTTTCAGGGCATGGGGGAGCTCGAGCTGCAGAATATGTTAAACAAAATCTTTTCAGTAACCTCATCAGTCATCCAAAGTTCATTTCTGATACCAAATGTGCTATAGGTTAGCCATTTATTTTGGAGTAAAATATGATTTGCTTTCCTGACACTGTACAAATTGCTTATTCAATTAATTTCTGTTATATCTTGTGGATTTCTTCCTTTTTGCAGCTGATGCATACAATCATACAGACTCGGAATTTCTGAAATCAGAAAATAATCAGAACAGAGATGCTGGATCAACTGCTTCCACTGCCATCCTTGTTGGTGATCGTTTACTGGTTGCAAATGTTGGGGATTCCAGAGCTGTTATTTGCAAGGGGGGAAATGGTATGATTCAGAAGACTCTTCTCTCCTTTTTTCCCTTTTTTTCCTTTTTTTTTAAAAATTTTTTCCCCAGTGGCCTGATGTTAATAGAATCTTGATGGATGATTTCCTGGAAATTAAGGAGATTGTGTTATGCCATCTTTTTGGTAGTGGTTCTGATAGACCAGCTATCTTATATTAGAGCAGCTTTTTAAGTGCTCAACTGTTTAGTACATTTGATCAAGCCTTTTAAATAAGATGATTTTTCAGGCAGAAAATACATGGTTGATGCATGTGGCTTTCTATGACAATGTAATGGTTATTCATTGTTGTGTCAAAACAATTTTTGAAGTATGTTTTTCTTTCTATGCTTCTTGCTGGTTCCCCTGATCAGCTGTATGTTAGAACTTAGCAGTGCTCTGTTATTTCCTGCAGCTATTGCTGTTTCTCGAGATCACAAGCCTGACCAAACTGATGAGCGACAACGGATTGAAGATGCTGGAGGTTTTGTGATGTGGGCAGGTAAAGACATCGTATGATTAGCTATATCTGCTGTCTATTCTAATTCGCTTAAGTAAACTGCTGGCAGAACATGACTGGAATTTTTGTCAATAGGAACATGGAGAGTTGGAGGTGTACTTGCTGTTTCTCGTGCATTTGGTGATCGGCTTTTGAAGCAATATGTTGTTGCTGATCCAGATATTCAGGTCTGGTTTGAGTGTTGATATTGAATGCATGAGTGAATAATGAACATTTTAAAAAACATGCTTGATCACATTTTAGCCATCCCAAATATATTAATTTTTTTTCATCTCATATTTTAGTCAAAAAATCAAAAAAATCACTAAAACAGTTTGTTCCCAAACGAGGCCTGAGAAAAGTAGAAGTCCTAAAATATGGAGAACTTCACATAGGAACCTCTCTGTTTGTGGTAAACATCACATTTTTAAGAGCCTTGTTTACATAGACGTTTTTGTTTTCCATTGGTGGCAAAAGTTGATGAGAAATCCCTAATTGAAATACAATTTATGATGGAGACTGGTGTTTTCTTTAGAGAGCAGCTCTCATTCTTACTTCTTAACTTCTATCACCATTTTGTATTTGGCATATTTGACTGTTAACTTCTTAACTAAAAATGCAGGAGGAGAAGGTTGATAGCTCTCTTGAGTTTCTTATTCTCGCAAGTGATGGACTATGGGATGTTGTAACGAATGAGGTTTGCTAATTTTCCTTTCTCATTCTTTTACTAGAAGTATTTGATTTGCAATCTGCCTTATAAATTTTTTTAGTACAATTTGATCTAGCCTTTTATTTCCTGTTCATCAAATTAATGGGTTACTTGTTCTGAACCTTCTTTCGAAGATCAGTACCTGTTTTAAGTCAAATAAAGGATGCTTTGTTTGCCACTTTGAACCTTGTACTACGTAATATACCCTTTTCTCAGGAGGCTGTTGCAATGGTTAAACCGATCCAAGAGCCAGAGGAGGCGGCAAATAAGCTGATGCAGGAAGCATGTCAAAGAGGTAGTGCAGATAACATTACTGTTGTTGTTGTACGTTTCTCAGCCAATCAACCGGCGTCTTCGGCATCTTCTCGTAGTGGTCACTCTGGTTAAGAATATTCTCCTAGCCATACGGGCATTGACTTTTTTGGTTGCTATAATGTGTACTTCACATTGTGCCATTAGGATAGAATTGTATCCGATATTGTAGCTAGCTAGAAATGTGCATGCTTAAAATTGTGAAGACTATGTTTCCACTTTGAATGTTGTACATGTTGTACCAAATAAAGAATGTTGTATATGCAGTTTAAACATCTTTTTAGTTGGCCTCTAAATGTGCACTTTTCATTTATGAGGTTTAAGGTAATCCCTAGATATGCATTGAGACTAGGACAGCAACTCGAGTGGGTTTCGATAGGCTAAGTCTGTCCAAACTCAACTCGAAATGTAGAGGGATCTGTTTGAATCTGAGTTCGAGCATGACATTTGCTTGAACTTTTTGTCCAAGGTGAAGCCTAAGTTTGACACAAGGAATTCGAGCTTGGCTCGGGTTGACCAAATTCAAACATAACATTTATTTTTGGTTGTGCTAAACTATTCTACCTCACATTTTGAAAATAGAAAGAAAAAATATTGCAAAAAATATAAATACAAGTATGATTAGAAAATTAGTATGAGTTGTGTACCCAACCCCAACAATATAATGTCACATTGCAATATGATTTAATTCAAACGTTGACAAAATAATACAAAATTTATAATATTTCAAGTTTATTATATATGATGTATATATATTAATAATTGGGTTATTCGTGTTGATTAGGTTGTGAAAATTCTTGCTCGAGCCGTATTTAAATTTAATTCATGAAGATAAGTTTTAGTCCAAATTTTAAAAAAATTTTAAGCTAGAGTAAGGTTGTTCGGATTGTATAAGTTGCACTTCTTATTAATGGGATTGAGAGGTTGAGCATGTAGAGCAAATTTTTTTCTCTTCATGTGAGATAAGTCCTCGTTTGGGAATATGTTTTTTTAGTAATTTTTTAGTTTTTTAATTAAAATATAATGTAAAAAAATTAGTATGTTTATGATGATTTTTTGATTTTTTACGAAAAGATATGCAAACAGTAGAGAGAAAATAGAATTTTTGACTTTTTGGTAAAGATTGTTGGCTTTTTAATTTTTTTAGTAACTTTTTGATTTTTTACTAAAAAAAGTCACTTGTCAAACGAAGCCTAGTCTGCAGACTCTGTGAAAAAAGTCTCGTACATCCATATCTAAAAATTAGTCTAAATTTTTTTTTTACTTGACACCTCTTGTACTTTTAAATCTTTCGATTGAAATTCTATTTTTTTTTTTCAAAGGAAGTCCTGAATGCCATATGTGATTTGTTTCATTGATTGGTCTAAAACAAAAGTTATGTGAAAGATACAGTAGGTGTGCCGATCAAAAAAAAGGTGTCATCAAAAAAAAAAAAAAAAAAAATATGTATATACATATATAGTAGGCGTGTATTTTTAGTAAGAATAATGATACACAAATAAAAAAATTTATACAGAATAATATGATTCAATACGAATTTTTTACTTTTAAAAAAAATACTCGTGAAGATGACTTTTATTTTATTCAACATATTGATGAAAATAGTATTGCCATACTATTGTAATAATTTTTTTTTTAATAGTAGAGTTTTCCTTCTACTAATAGTTTATTGGGTAAATTACAAATACACTTCCTAAGGTTTATTTAAAATATGAATTATTCCCTATAGTTTGGAAAATTACAAATACCTTCCTGTTAGAATTTTTTATTTAACAGAATTAATTAAAAAAGTGAAATTTTCAACTGTTCACCTACACTATAATAAAATTATTTGAATTATTAATTGAAATAAAATTTTAACATTATTAAAAATTGTTAATTAACTTAATGATTTATTAATAAAAAGACTTATTTGTTATGGAATTAGAAACCTTTGGGGTCATAATGCAATTTCTAGAATCACAGGGGTAATTTGTAATTTAAGTAAATCTCAGGGGGTGTGTTTGTAATTTACCCTAGTTTATTTGATTAAAAAGAAAATTTAATGGAAAGTGATGGCTGTTTGATTAGATTGAAAAATTGATGAAAGTAAAAGTAAAAAAAAAAATAAATAAATAAAGTGAAAGAAAAGAAATAAAATAAAAATTTTGCAAAAAAAAAAAAAAAAAAAAAAAGAGGATAGAAAAAGTTGAAATTTTAAGTATAAATAACTCCTTATATAGATACATTCAAATTTTCTTTTATTTTCTTGTGTAATTTGTAAGAAATTAGAAAGTTAGTTATATGTTAATATGAATTGCATACGAAAATTAACTTCTTCTTCTTTTTTATTTTTATTTTATTTTATTTTTTTTTCACCATCTTCATGCTAGAGAAACACATAAAAATTATATATAATTTTTCTCTTTCCTTTATTTTATCATCTTCATACTAAACAACGGAGGCAATTGCCTAATGTCAAGTAGATGGTCTCTTATTAAAATTACCTATATGTAGCCTTAGCAGAAGTTTGCTCAACTGAAATTGAGATGGTTTATTATTAAGTTAGAATAGAACAAATTAATGTGGAAAAAAAAAATGCTCATTTGGCAGTTTGTTTCTAATTTGCTAGAAATAAGGATGGTTATTTTAGTTCCCAAAAAAAGAAAAGAAAAAAAAAGGTGGATAATTTTCCGCAGGTCGACTCACCCCTATTTACACCAATTCCCATATATTAGTTTTTTTTGGGTGGACCAAGGTTAGGAGTGTAAAAATGACTTGCGGTCCGTGAGTGGTCCGAAACCTGTCCGCAATCTGGGTGGACCCGCACCGAGCTTAGCTCGAGACCCTAGGCCTGGGCCTGAGATTGCGCCATCATTTTGAAATCCGGACTAGCCTGTGGGCCCGCTCGCCTCACCCCAGCCCATCGGCCCTCTTAAGGCCAACTCAAGGCCCGGCCCGTGTCTCAGCCCACCCGAGGCCCAGTGTCTTTTTTAGTGAAAGTTAATAAAATTTTGATAGAAAAAATAAAATAAAAAATAAAAAAGTTGTTCAAGCCCAGGCCCACTGACCCAGCTCGAATTTTGGCGAGAGTCAATATGGACCGGACTGGGTCAAATTTACACCTCTAACCAAGGTCTAGGGACATGAAGTATTAACCCCCGCTTTGACTTTAACTTAGGGTTATTTTGAGAATTAACTATCTTAATTGATTTTTTTTTTTACTTTTTTTTTATAAAAAATCGTGCAAAAAAATAAAAAAAATAATTAATTTTTTTGTACTCCTTCCGTCCCAAAATATTAGTCCCTTATTCCATTTTTCATTGTCCCAAAATATTAGTCCCTCTTTATAAATCAAGTTCAAAAATAATGTAAATTTCCTATTTTGCCCTTCTTTTAAATTAATAAACAATTTAAAAAGTACAATTATGACATTGATATTCCCAAAAAATGTACTATCAAAAGGGTAATTTTGGAAAACCAACTTTTTTCAAATGCAATAAGTGTACTACCAAAAAAAGTTGGATTCCCCAAAAGGGATCAATATTTTGGGACGAAGGGAGTAGTAACTTTTTACTTTTGAGTGAAGATCCTCTGTAGTACTTGTGTAGTGCAATCTATAGTGTTTTCGCTCAGAGTATGTCATGTCAAAAGTGAGATGAGTGAATGGTTAGGATTGTGGGTCCTAAAAAGAAAAAAAAAACAGAGAAAAAAAAGGAAAGAAAGAAAACAGTAAACCCTAAACTTCTTTCTTCACGTTTTGGGAGAAAAACAAAACACAGCAAACCCTACCTTCTTCCTTCACCTTTGGGGGAAAACCTTTTAGATCTTTAAAAAAAATAAAAATAAATAAACATAAAACATATCACATCTCCTACATCAAAGGTGCAAGTAGGGGTGAACATGGTTCAAATTGGTTCCATTTAGCCGTAAACCAAGAGCAATTCATTACTTACAATTCCATCAAATTTGGAATCAAACCAATCCATGAAAATCTTGGAACCAATCCAAACCCAACCACTAAACCACAGTTCGGTTTGGTTTGAAACTACAGATTTTAAAAATATCATCACTATTCACAACATGATTACGAAATATTATTCACAACCTATGAATTGATGTTATATAGTGATCATAGGGTTTGTGTGAGGAGGCAAAATCCTAAAATTCTCTCTTATTTTTCTCTTTAGTATTTCCCGTTAGGGAGGGAGAGACGGTGGTGGTGTTCCACATCTCTCCGATCTCCCTCTCCTCTTTTTTCCCATTCCTCCGATCCTCCTTTGATGTTTAGCCTCACTAGTCTAGTCATCACAACTTTACCTTCTCTACTCTTGAGCTCAAAACTTTAAGATCTGGCTTCAAATTTCTTCATAGTCCGAAGGCCAATGCTGGATTACTTGTTTGTTTCACCCTAGGCGACCACTGCAACTTCAATGTTATATCTTAACCAACGAAAGTAGGGTCTTCAGATTCCAAATTGAAGGCTATAGAGTAGTGGAGTTTTTGATGAGTGTAGTGGCAACTTGGATATGGTATTTTTTTGTGTTTGATTTTCTTAATTTTTAGTTTGTTAATGTAATAATCTTTCTTGTGTGGAGGTTTATTTCCCTTCTTTGTGGAGGTCTTTTCTCCATCTTTATGGAGGCTTAGATTCTTCATTCTATGGAGGTTGTTAATCTCTTTTTGAGATTTTGTGATACTGTGTATCTAATTTATTCGATCTTTTATCAATTTTGCAATGAAAATTTTCTTCCCGATAAAAAAAAAAATCCTATGAATTGTTTACATGATTGTTTAAAACTAGTTTTATCACCATATAAAAATATACTTATAATAGTAGAGTTATAATTTTTATATATATATATTTTACTAATAAAATATTTTAGTATTTACATTCGGTAACAAATTGTATATATAACGGTTTGGTTCGGTTTGGTTCCAACTGGATTTGTAACTATAAAATCACGGACTGAACCATGAAATACAATTCGCTTATTTCAAAAACCATAACTGAATCGTGCATTGAGAAAACTAAACCAAATCGTGCAGTTTGGTTTGGACTAGACCGGTTTACGATTTTTTTTTCCCTCCCAATTTTTATGCTCAGCCCTACTAGTGAGTAAGAGAAAGAAGAAAAACAAAACAAGACAAAACCAAAACCCCTCCATTTAACTCACTTTTGGTGTGGCGCATGATGGCTTACTTTGATGTAGCAAAAACAATTTTAATATTTGTAAATCTCACAATAGCACGAATCTATAAAATAGTGACTAAATGTGGGTATCGATCCACAGGGATTGTAAAGTTACAA